GAATTGCTGCTGCAGGATGATAATAATAATAAATCCCCCCGCTAGTTAACAGATAAGTTGTAGTCAGTGTTACATTCATTAACCAATAACTAAGTACTCAGTATTTAACAGCGGCGATGTTGTGTATTATTTACCATCATGTGTGTTTCTGTGTTTGCAGGAAGCTCAGAACCTGATGGCTCTGACCAACATCGACACGCCTCTGAAGGGAGGCCTGAACACGCCGCTGCACGAGAGCGACTTCAGCGGCGTGACGCCTCAGCGGCAGCAGGTCCAGACGCCCAACACGGTTCTCAGCACGCCGTTCAGGTAGCGGAGCCAACGTCGGTCACACAGCGGGTCACATGTAGATGAGGGTTCAGCAACACGTTAGGCTGTAAATGTTTCTGCACAGGTGTTGGTTGAAAGGCTGCAGAGAAAGCACATTCCTCAGATTCACCATTTAGGCATTTTTTTTTAAGTTGTTGTTGCACTAACTAAAGTAAACCCTGCTGTAAATGTTTTCATTACTTCATCTCCATCAGAACTCCTGGACCCGGTCAGGGCTCGGAGGGAATGACGCCTCAAGCTGGAGGTGTCATGACCCCACGAGGGACCGCGACCCCAGGTTTGACCCCCGGTCGCACACCGCTGAGAGACAAACTGAACATCAACAGCGAGGAGCAGCTGACCGACCCTGCGTACGGCAAACACGTGGTAAATACACACTGGTACACATCTACGCCGTGAATACACAACTCACACTCAGCAATAAAACAGTAAATGTGTCATCAGTAGAAATGTTGGCTGAGTAATTAGAACAACACAATGTTCTCTGTTTAACGTTCTCCTTCTCCTCCTGACGCAGCAAAGAGAAAGTCTGCAGCAGCTGAGACAGGGCCTGATGTCACTTCCTGTTCCCAAGAACGACTTTGAGATCGTTCTTCCGGAGAACGCAGAGAAAGAGCTCGAGGAGACGGAGACAGAGTCGGGATTCATAGAGGACTCGGCTGATGTGGAGGCGCGCAAGCAGGTACCAGAACAATCAGATGATGTCTTCATCAGAACCTCAAACCTGTGAGCGGATTCCCACCAGAATTAGAACCCGTAGAACCTCTTTCAGGGAGTAATTGCATTTGTAGACAACAGCACTCTGTCGATTAGGGAATAACCGATGATCAGTCTGGACAATTATCGGGCCAATATTCTGCATTTTTCCAAATATAATTTTGCCTTTTTACAAACTGATTCTTGCTTGTTTTTGTCACTGAGTTACTCGTGTCATCGAAGCTGGTGAATTCGGCACCACAACGTGAACAGAATGGGCCAATTGGACGACTGTACCTGAACGACAGCTTATTGTTTGTACCCCCATAGTTGAAATAAAACTTGTAAATGTTTACTGTCGTGTTCGTCAGGCTCAACGGGACGCAGAAAGAGAGAAGGAGCTGAAGCTGCGACACACCGCTGTTCAGAGGAGTTTACCCCGACCTACCGAGGTGAGGCTTGATCACATGACTTCAGCAGTAACGCCACGGACACTTAAAACCCAGCAGGACGATCTGCAGCCACACGTTTGTGCGACCCTTAAAAAATCCTGGCAATAGATGGAAACTGTCAAACAAATCAGTTGGTGATAAACCAACTGGACTCCAGGCAGTTTGTAGGAGTTTTTATTTTGGCTCCTGTCACATTTTTTTCTGCAACATAAAGTCCTGCAACTTTATGGATGAAGACGGAGAGAGAACTCAGAGACGTCTTCTAGAATGACAGAAACAAGATAAACTAAAGTTTAACAAACTTTATCAAACAGGTACAACATTTTCACAGGTGTGTACAGGTGTTACCAATACTAGAAAAATCTAACTGTGGCTCTACAAACTTTAGATATTTGACTATTTACATTTTGTGCTTGTTTCCATACCCGTCTCCTCTCTGCTCTGCAGTTCAGCTGAACAGTCCATGAGGTTTGGTCATGTGACTGTTGGTTGCTGCTTAGTCACAAATGGCTTCAACCATCACAGTTTCTGTTTTTTGCAGAATTAAGCGGTTTATTTTTGGCAAATATTTAAATGAAACATGATGAGTTTTTATCTTGTCCTCGTCCCTGCAGGTGAACGAGTCCGTCCTGCGTCCGGCCTCCATGGAGCCGCTGTCCGACCTGCAGCTGGCCGAGGAGCTCATCAAGCAGGAGATGATCACGATGCTGCACCACGACTGTCTGCACCACCCGTCCTCCAGCTCCGCCAGTCAGCTGCAGCGCGGCAAAACCAGAGGCCCCGCCTCCACGTCCAACAACGCGTCGCACATCGCCTACCTGGAGACGCACACCTACAAGCCCGTCAGCACAGAGGACATGGAGCAGGTGGGTCGCACGTCGACACACGCCTGGGAGGAAGTTAACCGACGTGGTTGGTTGATGAGACGTGGATGTTAATCAGGTTGTGTTTAATGAACAGGCGAAGACGGTGCTGGCTTTAGAGATGGAGGTGGTGAAGTCAGGAATGGGCCACGGAGACCTGAGCATGGAGGCCTACAGCCAGGTGTGGGAGGAGTGCTACGGACAGGTGAGCCTCCACAGCAAGTAAATAGATAGAAAAACTAACTAAAAATAATTATATACAAAATAAACAGATAAGACAAATATTTATTGAACAGTTGACTCTGTGTCACAAGTTCAGACTGTAGAACGTCATAAATATAGAATCAGTATTTTCTTTTTTCATTGATTCGAAACACCATGTGGATCAGAGGCTTCATCATGCTGCTCTGTTGAACCTGGTTTCAAGATCTTTGTCATATTTTTCCTCCAAACCAGCTGTTCCTTTAACTTTCCATCGTTGTCTGCCTTGCACAGGTGTTGTACCTGCCCGGTCAGAACAGGTACACCAGAGCTAACCTGGCCTCAAAGAAAGACCGTATCGAAAGCCTGGAGAAGAAACTAGAGGTGAGAAACTGGATCAAGTCGACCCTGAAACTGTTCCGTTGGCTCGGTCCAAAGCGCTGAGTCTTGTATCTGTGAACTCTGCAGGTGAACCGTGGTCACATGACGGCGGAGGCTCGGAGGGCTGCGAAACTGGAGAAGAAACTGAAAATCCTGCTGGGAGGGTTTCAGTCCAGAGCGCTGGGACTCCTGAAGCAGCACAACGAGCTGTGGGAGCAGGTACTCACCATGTAACGCTTCATCTGACAGCAGCAGTGAGAGAAACTCACCTGGAGAGTTAAAACATTGTCTGTCTTCACCTTCTGATTTCATTTTTATTACCCTAATTAACTTCAATATTACAGCTAAAACTCTGCAATATATAGAATGCAAATTAACTTGATTAACCTAAATATTAAGCCTAAGACCCTACAATGTTTTAGATAAATGTACTTCTTTAATTTGAAATACTTTAGGGTCTTAGCCTTATATTGATTACACAAATTAACCTAATTAGCTTAAATATAATGAACTAGACTAATTTCAATACTAAGGCAAAGCTCCGACAATGTTTAATTCTGCAAATGAACCCAACTAATTTAAATGTTCTGTTTAAGACCAACAATATTATGTATAAATATATAATACAGATAATTTTGCTCACAGAACAATGAAAGCTAAGACCCTACAATACTGCACAGTAAACCTGATTAAACTATAAAGGTTAAGACGTTAGTGTAACACACAATGCAAATTAACGTGACTCACTTAAACACAACGTTTAAATGGACCCGACTAATTTACATAATAAAATCAAATAGTAATTGATGACAGAAATTAAACAGGCTAATTTATATTCACGATATCATGTGTAATACAAACTAACTCGACTAATTTAAGGCTAAGACTTTTCTAAATCACTGGACGAGTTGGTGAGTTAATTATTAACTGAATAAATTCGCTTTCTGCTGGTTGCTGTAAATGATCTCTTGGTCTGAACTATTTGAACGTCGTGATGCTGACGTTGTACCTGTCGGCGTCCACCAGGTGGAGCAGGCCGCCACCGAGCTGCAGACCTTCAATCAGCTCAAGAAACAGGAAGACACGGCGATTCCCCGGAGACAAGAGGTAAAACACAAAGCACACGACTCCCAACAACTCTCATCGTTCTAACACACAGACCGAGAATCTGGATTCTGAGGCTGAAATAACTACGAGAGAATTCAGATCTTTAATTAAGAACGGAGGAAATTTACTACTGAAATGTTCCTCGTTCTGAGATAATTCTGAAGTTTTAATCTGTTATTCAGACAAAATGACCACTTTGAAGACTGTAAAAACTAGAATACACGTCATTATGATCCGAATAAGACTTTCTAATTAATACATTTTCAAACAGTTAAGACGCATGTTGTTAGAAATCCAAATAAAAGGCTGGAAGCCACCAAGAGAACCTCAGTTTAAGGAAACCAGTCACTAAAAATTAACTTTATTCAAAAAGTTTACAAGAACTTTTTTAGGACTGCGTCTATGAAAAGCAAAAACTGTCCGATCTAGAAACCCGTCCGCAGCTTGTGAGGCTTAAATGAGTTCATGTTTGTGCTGCAGATGATCAGAACCTCTGTTGTGTTTCAGGCCCTGCGGGAGGACGTGGAGCGGCAGATGGAGCGAGAGCGGGAGCTGCAGCAGCGCTACGGAGAGCTGCTGATGGAGAGAGAGTCGCTGATCAACAGCGCCCAGAAGTACTGAGCTGATCACACCTTCATCCATTCATCCAAACGCTCATCAGAGCAGCCGAATCAAGCCGACGGCTGCTCTGAGAAACAAAGATTTCTCCGTAAACTTCTTGTCGCGGCGGACATTTTGACTTTTATCGAAGCAGGAAACAGTTAAACTTTCCTGCAGCGACGAGTCACAACTTCTGCTGCGAAAAAGGTTGTTTTGAATCCTTCTGTCATTTTCTGATTATTCCAGAGATAAGCCCCGCCTCCATGTCGCTATGATGTCACCAGCTGAGTTTGGAGCATGCTCAGTAGTCCCCTTGTGTTTCTGTATTAGTGACCAATAAAGTTTCTTTTCAACAACGACACGCTGGCGGTTTCATTTACCAAAACTCTTTTTTAGTAATTATAGAACAAAAACACATATATATATATACAGGTATGTACAGGAATGTGTTGGTTTGGTGAATCCTCAGCAGGCGAGAAAGGCCATCCCAGTCCTCCCATAAGAACTCTGACCAGGACAGACGACAAGTAGTTTAGTAGTGACTCAGACAAACAGACTGAACAGACGTGTGGTTTGGAGTTTTTCAGGTCTGTAGAAGGTTAAACCACGTCTGTGACAGTCAGGAAGCTGCAGTTTAAGAGTGTTAAAGCGTGTAGACCAGCTCGTCTGAGGGTTTGTTTTCACCAGCAGAGTATTTAAACAATCTTTATTCTTTAATATTACAGGAGAGAAGTGGTTGGTTTAGACGAGGACGCTCACAAACGAGCACATTTAATACCGTTCTCTGGACAGAATCCAGGAATATAAAAAGCTGCACCGGTTCAGATTTTGTTGAGTTTATTTTTTTGTTATTTGGGACTCAAACCTCTCGAAGTTCTGCAAATTATTTTGTCTACATTTTAGATGTTTCCAGACCTGGGAATATCGTAAAGCAGGGGTGTCGACATCCGGTCCTCGAGGGCCGCAATCCTGCATGTTTTAGATGTTTCCCTCTTCCAACACACCTGATTCAAATGATCAGGATCGTTATCAGACTTCTGCAGAGCTTGATGATGAGCTGATCATTTGAATCAGGTGTGTTGGAAAAGGGAACCATCTAAAACATGCAGGATTGCGGCCCTCGAGGACCGCAGTTCGACACCCCTGTCGTAAAGTAAAGACCACATTTAACATCTGCACGATTACCGTAATGTCTGGACTATAAGCTGCTACTTTTTTTCACACGCTTTGGACGCTGCAGTTTAAACAATGATGTGGCTAATTTATGGATTTTTACGAATTTGCCTCGAGACCAAAGTGACGTTGAGAGCGACGACGACAGAGAGACTGAGGAAGTGTGTGACGAAGTGATTCTGAGGCTGTTCAACTCCTGAAGACACTGAAGACGACGACTTTAGTGGTTTTAGTGCAGGAGGAAGATGAAGATAGCGATCAATAACTTTTCCTGGTAGGCTGCTGGAGTTTTTATTTTCTTAACCAGCCGTGTTACAGGAACTGTTCAGAAAAAAGCATCTGTGTATGTTAGCGGTACGTATTTAATAAAAAGTTTAAAACATCTTTCTGTGTAAATATCTCATGTTACAACGTGGACACCTGCAGCTTATAGACAAATGCTTCAATAGTCCAGAATTTACGGTAATCAAATGAAACACGATCGAGTGCGACATTGACGTTTGAGGCGCTAATCGCTGGTAACTGATGGAGACCAGAAGCTTCTCTGTGAGACTGTCATTTTGATGCAGATTTGCAGGAAATTAGCAAAATATAAGTACGATAAAAGAATCCAAAATTAACAAATGATGAGGAGAAATAATCGTTTGGGTCATAATTGTGCAGCTCTCTAATATTTCACACAACTAACTTCTGAAGACACAAAGACTGAAACTCAAAAAATATTCAATATAAATCTTTCAAAATAAAGTTATTACACTTCAGCTTCAAGCCCTACAGGTGCACTTTGTTTACCCCTTATGGTGTGTGTTGTTGTCGTGTGTCTGTACCGTGTGTCTGTAGTTGTATCTCCTGATGGCCTCTCTGATGTGACTGGGCTGAATGGCTCCACTGGGAGGCTCCACTGTGGCCGGACAGCTCTGAGAACACACAACACAGCTTTAAAGCAACACGACAGCGCACCGAGGTGACGCGATGCATTCAGGAACGTGGGGTTTTTAAACTCCAGAATGTCGAAGATGCGAAAAGCTTCTAAAACAAGGACTCAAACAACCAGTTCAGCCTTTAAATGGACTTATTCTGGAAAACACAACATGTTCACAGACTGAATATGAGTTCATCAACAGTCGTGACAAAAATTCTGAGAGTTTTCGGCTGAACTGCAGGTTGTGTTTACACGTCAGAGGAGACGAGTATGGAAACAGATTGAAAATGTAAAAAGTACAGTTTTTGTTGAATAATTAATCAAAGAAACTTAAATTTAGTTTTTTACATTTTTCTGGTTTGTCTCATTCTGCACAGAAGACGTCTCTGAGTTCTCATTATCACGGTTGGTCTGTTCATGCAGAGCTGCACGACTTTATGAAATACGAACCTCAGTGAAGAAACATGAGACAGAAGCAAAAGAAACACTCAGAGTTCAGGCTCCTTCAGCTGAAGCTCCCTTGCTCACCTGAAGTTCTGCCTCCTCCTACAGACTCCTGCTCATTAGATTTCAAACCAACGACCAGAACTCACCTTCTTGCGTTTCCTCTGCCGCGCCCGGCCGTCCAGGCTGCCGTTGCCCTGCAGGAGGGGCTTCGAGTGGGAGGAGCCTGGGGTGGAGGGAGGCGTGGCCTCAGGTGAGTCTGGGTCCTTCTTCACCTGGTGGACAGAAGAACGTTACTGAAAACTGGGAGGTTCTGGATTCACTGGTTGAAACATTGAGAGTCAGGACAGTACTGGACTGGGAGGACGTCACTGTGTGTGTTTACCTTAGTGTGTGTCTGTGTGTCTTTGTGTACCTCAGCGTATGTGTGTGTACCTTAGTGTCTGTATACCTCAGTGTGTGTGTGTGTACCTTAATGTGTGTATACCTCAGCGTGTGTGTGTGTACCTTAGTGTGTGTGTACCTCAGCGTGTGTACCTCAGCATGTGTGTGTGTGTGTACGTCAGTGTGTGTGTACCTCAGTGTATGTGTGTGTGTACCTTAGTGTGTGTGTACCTCAGCGTGTGTGTGTGTACCTTAGTGTGTGTGCGTACCTCAGTGTGTGTGTACCTCAGCGTATGTGTGTGTGTTTACCTTAGTGTGTGTGTACCTCAGCGTATGTGTGTGTGTATGTACCTCAGCGTGTGTGTACCTTAGTGTGTGTGTGTACCTCAGCGTATGTGTGTGTGTGTGTATGTACCTCAGCGTGTGTGTGTACCTTAGTGTGTGTGTACCTCAGTGTATGTGTGTGTACCTCAGCGTGTGTGTGCTTCAGTGTGTGTGTGTGTGTGTGTGTACCTCAGTGTGTGTGTTGTAGTGGATGTAGCTGGCTGAGATCACGTGACCGACGGGGTTGGTCTTGGCCGTCATCTCCTGCTTTACCAGCAGAGACAGATCCACGATCTGGAGCCAGACAGAAAGCAGCAGCACACGTTTAATTAACGCAAAGAAGAAAGCCTCACTCAGGTGCAGCGTCGGGACCGGACACGTTACCTGGGCAACCGTCTCGTAGGCCAGGTAGGACAGCATCTCCATGGCGATGCTGTTGGGTTTCAGCTCCAGGCTGCTGCAGTCGAGCCAGTCGCGAAACTTTGACGCTTTCTTCGCTGCGAGAACATTTAAAAATGAGAAACAAACACAAGCAGGAGGTCAGAGAGCGGATCGGTTCACAACTCAAACTGGGAGTTCTACGCTACATCAATACGTGTTTCCAGCTGGTTTTATTCCTCCACAGTAACTTCAGTGTATTTAATGAAGTTACAGCAACGACAGCTGGGAGGAATGGGCCAGAACTCATCAGACTGTTGTCAGAAGCTTGTGGAAGGAAATCCAGAACGTTTGACCCAAGTCATAGAGTTTAAAGACAACGCTACCAGATACTGAGGAGATAGATGGAAACTTCTGACCTTGAAGAAAGGAATGGAAAAAAAAAATCCTCGTTCTCATTCACGTTCTGGTGTTTAGCAAATAGAAATAATGTTGGTAATAACTGACTGACCTGAAACAGGAAAAGTTTAGTCTGATTTAATGTCAGACGATGAGAAAATAGTGGATGTAAACTTCTGGTTTCAACTGTAAACACTCACATTTTTTTTTAATAGATTCATTATTTTTAACTTTCAGGCATACATTTTTTAAAATAAAGTGACACCGAGGTATTTAAGGACTAAATGTCTGAATCCAAAAGTGTTATAAAAATATGATATTGTATTGATTGTACTGAGTGCTGAAACATGAACCGACTGTCAGGAACTAAACCCTTTAAATGCCTGTTTGTTTACGCGTTGTTGCTCTGTGTGAAGAAAACAGACATTTATTTAATTCATTCGATAAACGCATGGTTGCTCTGTTTCCACAGGATTTTATATTGAAGTGAAAAATACAGTCCAGAAAAATGCAACAGAAACAGAAACCATCCAGAACCTGCTGCTCAGAGCTCAGAGGTTTAAACGTCGTCCTGAATGAGACCCACTGGAGCCTGAATGGTTGAAAGTCTCACCGAAGCTGAGCTGTCGGCTCTCGCAGAACTCCGAGTACTGAGTCTGGTCCATGTTCCGAGTCTGACGCTCCAAACGCTGCCGACACAAACACACAACAGACTGACGGTGAGCAACAAACACTCGGTGGTCTCCGCTCGCAGCAGGCGTGTTAACGTTGTGATCGGACCTCCATCCTCTCCTGCTTCACCGGGTCGACCTCCTGACGCTCCGCCAGCGACAGCAGCTCGCCCGTCTGGTCCATCCACACCAGGAAGTCCTGAGCCAACCGCTGCCTCCGCTGGTTGCCCCCGGCGACGCCACCAGCAGCTGAACACCTGTCTGCAAACGCCAACAGGAAAAACTACAATTTAATTCATTTTTAAAAATAACTTTATTGGTTAATTTTTGAGCGAACAACACGTAGAATCACACATTTATTACAGCAGCAGCAAGAAAATCAGCACCTGGTTGTTGTATTTAATTATAGCAGGAATAACTGGAAAATAATGTCGCAAAAACAACCAATAAATGTGATAAGAAACTGAAAAAAAACATTATAATTATAAAAGCAAAGTAAAAATGAAAGAACTAAATCAAATAAAAGTAGAAAGTAATAAATAAGTTAAAGATAAAAGCTCGATTTCCTTAATTCCACTTCATATTATTCTCATATTTGGGTCTTAAATGTGTGAGTTTTTTTTTCATTCCGATGCAAAGCAAACATTTTGTCATTACATTTGAGTCTCTCTGATTAAATGTGAGTCACAGATGTTTTTTTCCAAAATTTCTAAACAAGCAAACACTTGATCCTCTTCAAAACGGAGCCTTCAGACGACAGGAAAACGGCACAAAAACCGACATGTTTAAGTCGTTTCCACAGTTTAAACCAGACGTCGGTGTGGATTCTCAGTCATTTGGATCCTGAGAGCTTCAGTAAGCAGCAAGTGGACGTCTCTGTTTGTCTTTAAAGACCAGAAGGTGAAGTCCAGCTGCATGTTCATCTGCTAAACTATATGTTTACGTGTAATATGCATTCTGTGCAATGTTTAAATTCATGAAACAGTTCAATTTAACTTGCAATAATTAAATTCCATGTGTCATATCCATTATCATGTGCAATGTTTTCGTTTCATGTGTATGTTTCTGTTTCATGAGAACTTTTTCATGTGTAAAACTTTTTATTTTCATTCAATATTCCAGTTTCATGTGTGATCTTCTACCTCAGTAGTGCTCTTCTATTGGGCACTGCCTGTATTTTCAGGTCATTATGGTTGTTTTTCATGAGCAATATTTGAATTTTGTTTCACTGTCATGTGCAGAATATTTTTTTTATCTGTGCAATAAATTCATTCTCATGTGCAATATCACTTTACTACCTCAGTTTTACTTCTGGTATTTCTATCCTGAGTCCTATTGTAGATGACGTATTCTCATTTTTAGTTTCAGTGATGTGTTATGCACATATCTGCGTTTATTCTTGTGTTGTAGAAGAATTTCCTGGGTGGCGTCTGAGGAAGAAGCCTTAAAAACAACATGAGAGCAGCTGATGCTGAACATACAGGCAAAGAGCAGGACGATTGGAATAATTTGCTCTGGACAGATGAACCAAAAACAGAAATGTTGGTCAGCAGCAGCAGACACATTAGTCGGTGGAAACGTTCTGGTTTGCAGTCACTGATTCAACTCTGAATTCTGCAGCAAATCAAAGAGCCTGACGTGAGGAATCGGTCTCAGAGCTGAAGATGAAGCAGAATATTAACTTCCTGCAGGACAATGATCCTGAAAGCAACACCAAGGGGACGCCTCGGGAAGAAGGAATGGACGGCTGTGGAATGAACAAGTCAAAGGACAGATTTCAATCCTCCTGAAATGTTTTGAAACAGGCAGAATTTAAAACAAAACCCTCAAACATCCTGCTGCTGAAAAGGGAAACACCAGCTTCTGAGGCTTCTTCCACAAAAGAACGTTGCACCTGTTGATGTTTCTTCTGAATAAATGATTGAAAAAGCTAATTTTCTTCAAGATATTGTTCAAATATATCCCCTCTATCTGAAAACGCTGCATCACAGACGATCACACGGAGTCTGTTCGTCCAAATATATAAAAAAAATAATAAAATCTACAGTGTACCTTGTTCCTGCTGCGAGTCGTCGTCCTCCATAGTTTTGAGCAGTTTGGATTTATAATCTCTGAACTGGAGGTATTTTAATAATCTTGCCACTTTCCTCTGGTCGAGATGTCGGCAGAGAAAAAAAAGAAGAAACAGTTATGAATTCCATGTGTTAAAACAGCATCATTCAAAGGAAGATTTGTCTTTAAACTAACTAAACTACATCATTTATCAGAACCAGAAACTATAAAGACAGAAAGAATCGACCGATTATTAACTTTCTGACGGTCTTTGAACACATCATGTGTGATGTCAGGAAACAAACCAGATCTAATCAATATATTCTGCATGCCTCAATGAAAAAATTCTCCCCAAAAAGTAACAGTTTTCCTTAAACCGATTCTATAACAAACTAAAAATTCTGTGATCCTCGGCTCAACTATGAAGCCGTCAGTGACTCAGCTGAGACAAACAGTCACGGGACAGAAAATCAGGGAGTTTTTGGCTGAACTTCAGGCAGAACAGAGAGGAGACGAGTATTAAAACAAATTAAAACTGTAAGAGAGTTAAATATCTACAGTATGTGGAGCCACTGTTTAGTTTTCCAGTGTTGGTAACAGCTGTGGGGAAAATGTTGGACATGTTGATTCCAGATTCTTTCAATTTTTTAAAATAAATAATCAAATAAATGTAAATATTTCACTTTTTTTATGATTTGTGTCTTTCTAACTATGTCCAATGTCACAGAAGACACTTCATGTTGTCCTGTTTCCACAGAGGTGCAGGATTTTATACTGCAGTGACAAAAACAAAGAATCTGCCCGAGGTTCAGACGCTTTCTTTTTGTACCTTGTCTCTCCTCATCAGGAACAAAATGTCTTCGGCTGAAATGACTCTTGAACCTCGAAGAGCTGCTCCTTCACAGGCCTGGTGCAGCTGAAACGATCAAATCGAACAGTTTAGACACACGAGTCTCAGTCTGTGCTCATCAGAAGAAAAAACACCATCAGTTATGTTCAGATCGTCTGGATTTTACACACGATCACACGCTTAGATCCTGGAATTCACAAACAGAATCACAATCATCTGTCAGAGTGCTGAAACCAAAGCTGATCGTATGGTTCGATCTCTACAGACTCCCGGTGTGACGGCTGTCCGAGTGTATGTCCCGTTACCATGGTGATGAGCTGCGTGTGCACCACGTCCTCCACCAGAGCTGCCGTTTCCTGCAGAGGCCTGCGAGCGTCTCCCAGAGCGAACCTGCGAAACACAGACCGAACGTGAACCGGCGGGTCCTAAAGTCAAGCTGCAGGTTAAACAGGCGGCTGCTCGGTTTCGATCACGGCTCCTTATTTAAAGAGTTCAGAGCTTGTGGTGCTGAACAGCTGCTCTGATTTCACAGCTCAGAGATGTTTGACAACTTGTCGCCTCACTACCGAGACATTATTGGTATTTTATTGTCAGTTCTTTTCTTCTGCATCACAGTCAGCTTCAGAACGTTTGAAGGCTGTCAGAGTTCTGACAAACATTATTTAAAACAAAGGAACTCCACACAGTTATCTAATCAGAGAGGTGTGTAGGAGACGGACCAGCACATGTAAAAACACACACACGAAAACATTTATTTATCACATTTCAGTGCTGGACTTTAATATCCGTACTTCTTTATTACATAATGATCCATCCATCATCTCTACACCTTCATCCTCACCAGGGTCATGGGGGGCTGGAGTCTATCCCAGCCGACTCAGGGTGAAGGCAGTCTATCACAGGGCTACACTTAGAGACAGACAACCAAGCACACTCACATTCACACCTACGGACAATTTACAATCACCAATTAACCTCAACATGTTTCTGGACTGTGGGAGGAAGCCGGAGAACCTGGAGAGAACCCACACTGCACGGGGAGAACATGGAGACTCCACGCAGAAAGATCCCGGGTGTCCTCACCGGGACGCCAACCGGCAACCTTCTAGATGTGAGGCGACGGTGCTAACCACTGATCCACCTTGCAGCCCACAAAATGAACCAGAAAGAGCTCATTCTGCACGACAAAGTGCAACAGACCGAATTTAAAGTGAATTTTTCTGAGTGCTTCATCTGTCAGATGTTTCTAATGAGGGGCTGTCTGTTTTTGACAACTGAATTTTTGTCCGTTTTTAGAGCCTTGCAGGAAAACAAATCAAGGCACCAGATCTGATGACAGTTTTGGATTCTACAAGAAAAGTTCGCCCAAGATGATCAGTCTCAAAGCTCCATATGTCATAAAGCACGAGTCATTAATGATGGAAGGTGGTCTGAGAGGCTGATTTGCTAAAACACATAAATTTAAGTAAAATTTCAAGGGGCAGTAATTTCAAAACTACTTCAGATGGAGATCTTATATTTGGGATTCCTCCATAATCTTAGGAGCACCAGAGGAATCTGAGAGGTTGACCTGGAACCCTCTGCTTGATTTAGAGACCAGACAACTAATCAATTAATCCAAAAATTAATCGACACATTAATCAACAATGAAAACGGCTCAACTACTTGATCCTGTTAAAAGAACAATTTAATTCAATTCAATTCAATTTTATTTGTATAGCGCATATTTACAACAAAAAGTCATCTCATAGCGCTTAACAAAGGCAGAAACAGAAACACCCAACAATCCAAAACATTTGGATTCCCTATAAGCTTCAGCAGTCCGCAAGCAGTCCACAACAGTGGGAAGGAACCGAAAACCGAAAAAAAAAAAAAAAACTCAGACAGAACCAGGCAACAACTACAGGAAAGACAAAGACTTCTGATAGAAACATATAAACGTGAGTTTGTGATCAGTTCTGAAACTTGCATTTGTATTAAAAAACAAAACCTCAGTCTCACTGTGCAAATAAACCCAGAGTCTGTGCGTTAATATTTCAAACCGTCCTCATACGACGTTGACTCACACGGAGGTCAACAAACTCTTTGACCACAATCTGGTCGAACCTCGATTTGCATCCGGCGAAGCCACTTCCAGACGGACCTCAAACCCACATCCTGACGCTCGTTCTCCACTCATTTCTTCTTCTTTTATTTTCTGCCACAGACGCACACCTGACCGCCGCCCCGGCCCCGCCCCCCCTCCTCTACCTGCGCCGTGATTGGCCGTCTGCAGCCATCCATCACTCAGGTGACTCTGGTTTGTGGGCAGCTCGGCTTCAGCCTCAGTGTCGGTTTTTAGGTTTTGGGGTTTAGTTTGGTTTCAGCCGCTCTGACCGCCGACGACACGACACGAGGTGAGCGACGCAACACACACACAGACACACAGACACACACACTCATGGAACCACAGCGTGCACATGGCGACTTTAGAAAAACCTAATTTGCAGCATAAAACTTATCACGTGTACTTTTTTTTTTTTAAACTTGTGCAGATAAAAACAGTGAAACCACAGCAGGAAGAATTAATATGATAATAATAGTTGCACCAAATTAATTGATTTAAAGGTTAATTATTGGGAAAAAAATAGGATTTATTAAATAAAACGACTAAATATGTTGTTTTTCGTACAGCTACTTCAAATTGTGTAGTTTTCTGCAAGAAAAAACTTAAAAAACAGTCAAACGGCAGCAGAAAATATCAACATAATGATTGAACAGCTAATTATTGTAATTAATAGGGATTCTGATCATCACTGTCAAATAAAACTACCAAATATGTTTTATTTTCATGACACATTCTCATATGTTCAGTGTGTTTTCATGTGATTTCTCTTCTGTTGTGGTGGAGCTGCATGTTGATGCTGTAATATTCTGTGATTTTAAGATTTTTTTATTCACAAAAAGCAAAGTTGCACGTTTCTTACCGGCTATTCCTGATCTCAGGAGTCTAATGCTTGCAATAAATTATTATTATCGTATTATAAGGCTTCTTTCGACCTCAAACTTTAATTACTGATGCTGTACAATGTCCGAAAACGATGAAAAAAAAATGTCAGAATTTCTTATTATTATTTATCAACAGTCTAAATATATTCAGTTTATTGTCACATCAGACAAATACAAACAGCAAATCATCATAATTTAGATGCTGGAACTTGGTAAAATTTGCTAAATTCAGCCTAGAAATGATTAATTAGTAATCAAAATAGTTTTGATAAATAGTAAATAAATAAATCTGCTGCAAATGTCTCCACGAATGTCAAACAGACTGCAGGTGGTTCATCTTCAACGTCATATATGGTCTGCTGCTGAGGGTTTTTAGGAATGTTAACGAATTTTTTTAAAATAAGAATTCAGATTATTATTGGAGGATGCTTCACTTAGAGGTATTAGAAATTCACTGAGATATGTGTGCTTTTGTTAAGTCTGATTGTTTTAAATCACATTCAGTCTTACTCAATGTAAACTTTTGGCAAGTTAACAAACATTTTCAAAGATTTTACACAACACCCTGCATGTGTGCATCACACAGTGCCTCAAATTGTCGGGCAGTGGACGTTTTCTGGAACAATCTGTGTTTGGATTTGTAAAGTGTCGCTGATTTGTGTGTCTGCGTTGTGTGATAAACAGGTTTTCATGGCTTCCAACAGTCTGTTCAGCAGCAGCAGCAGCCCGATGCTGTTCTGGGGTGAGACGCTAAAAAGTGTGTGTTTGTGTGTCTTCCACCACTGTGTTTGTGTGTTTGTGTGTCTTACATCATGCTCTGTAGCTCTGGGATGAAACTGGTCCTGGAAACCGGACGCTCTTTAGAACTGGAGGCGGCAGAACCAGCCATGGGACTGTTCATTACCAGCTGCAGACACAAAGCAAAGACCCAGTTAGGATGACAGAAAGCATAAAAAAGAAAGACTAAATTAGAATTTCTTTGTTTTTTTATTCTACAAAAACTTTGAAAAACCTGAAATCGACATTTTCACCATTTTTCCAAGTGTCCACAGGTGTTACCAACACTGGAGCAAACAATTTTAGCTGTATATACTATAAATATTTACAGTTTTAAGGTGTTTCCATACTTGTCTGTGGAAACGCTGCCCGCAGTTCAGTCGAAAACTTTTCATCAGATCACTGCTGGTCAAAGCTGAGTCACTAACGGCTTCATGGTTGCACCGAGAAGCAGAGAACTTTTAGGGTTTTTTTTACAGAATCTATTCAAAGCAAACTATTTTTTTGTTTCACATTTTAAAATTAGTTGTGTAGAATAAAGCAATTTTGATTAAAAATATCAATTTTTGGTTTAGATTTGGTTCATTTTCCCACCAGAACACATGACAGATGAGTAGTTCAAGGCCTGTAGGAGAGTTTCTGTTTGTACAGTTTCTTCCTGATAAATGTTATTGAAAAAAGCTGATCTACCTTTCAGTAGGTTTTTGGTTAAAGCAGAACCCAAAATTAACTGAAGCAGGACTGTAATTTAACAAAACAGGGAAAATCTGTGACACAGCAATAAATTATTCTGTATTTTTTTATTCATCCTGCATCATGTAGAAACAATGGACACGAACTTTTACTGTCTGGTGGTTAAACTTATTATAAATCCTGTTTCACAGCTCAGCTTTCATTTGTGGCTTCAGGGTTTTGTTTTGTTGTTTGGTTCAATTCATCAAAACAAACCAACAGAACAGAGACAAACTGAGCCAAGAGCTTAAAATAACAAGATAGCAGAACAGAGCTGAGAGTCAACACAACACTACACTACACGACACAACACAGCACAACACAGCACAGCACAGCACAGCACAACACAACACAACACAACCCTTGGACAGGTGCTGTGACCGCACCAACTTCCCTCCGGCAGTGAAATCTGAATAATAATACAGCGCAGTTCCCGCCTATTCAAACACTGCGGTCGATAAACCACAACGCACAAAAACAAAAGAGAGAAAGACGAGACGGAGGAGAAAAAGAGGAGAAGAGGAAGAGAGACTCAGACACGGAGGAAAACTGAAAACAAATGGAAATTCTCACCGAAGTCTCCCAGAAAACGTCGCTCCGCTTCAGCTGCGACCAATTCCGTTGATTTGTTAAAATTTCGGCGCGACTTGATGACGTATGTTATCCGTAAAGTAATATCCGGGGTTTTGGTAGTTGTAGTTTTTTTATACGCATTTTAGGTTAAAACGCGTTTACTCTCAGGTCTGACCGCCTTATGCTTTATTCCTGAGTGTTTTTGATTTTATTTAGTTGAAATGAGAAATGTCTTCAAAATACCCTCCTCTGAAACATAAATACAAATAAAAGCCTTGTTAGATGTAATTCATGCCGTTTTTGTTTAATAAAAATGTCTGTAAATATACAAAATGTGCTTCATTACCAAAAGAAATATATGCAAAATTACAGAACCAAGCCGTTTACAGTATTAAACTTGACTTCAATTGTAATGTATTAAATAAAATGTATGTAGTTTAGAAATTAAGCTAAATTTTCTCATGTAATTTCACTTTTTTTTGTATTTTTTTAAATCTTTTTTTTTAATTATTATTTTACTGTTACTACCAAACTTGAATGCACCAGTTTGTATATTAAAAAGAAATGTTTGTGAAATTACAATACATGTTCAGATGTTTTCTTTATGTGAAGAAGTTTTCCTTAAAATATTAAATATAAATTTCAGGATTTTCCACAGCGACAGGTTTTTATTACTTGGTGTTAGACATGTTAACTCAATTTTACACGTTTATTGATATTCTGTGTTTTTCTAAATAATACGTGAATGTATTTTACCAGCCTTTTTATGTAGGAATATATATTTAGGTCTTGTGTTTTCTTTTACATAAGTAAAGACATTTCCACTCCAGAAAAGGCACAATACATGAAAAGTTTCTAGAAAACTTCAAGGTGGGAGTACAGCCAGACCCCTGCCTAAGTCCACATTAATGTTCCCTGGCATTATGGCTCTTTATACTATAAAGAGTCAAACACACATGTTAGACACTTCAGAGGACAGCGCAAAAAAAACACAAAGAAAAGAAAAGCTGTAAATCCTCTGTGTGTTTTCTTTCAGACCCAGTGGTGAAATGTCGACCGTCGCCCGGCGACCGTCAGCTGGACGACCAGGAGGGAAGATCTCTGCTCCATCGCAGCACGGCGCCACCCAGAGGCCTGGTGCCGACGGACAGCCCCAACTTCCTGTGCAGCAGCCTGCCGCTGCACTGGAGGTGCAACAAGACGCTGCCGAGAGCTTTTACTGTGAGGAATCAGGTTTTCTGTCTGTCTGGGGTCAGAGGTCATCAGACACTCTGCTCTGAGTCTAGTCCTCCAGACCATCAGTTTTCTGAGCCTTAAAGATGATGAATGGTTCAGGGGTAAAGGGCCGCTCCTGATGTCTCTCCATCCTCCAGGTGGTTGCCCTGGGCGACGATGTGCCTGACGGTGTGGTGGTGACAGTGATGGCCGGCAACGACGACAACAGCAGCGCCGAGCTACGCAACGCCACGTCAACCATGAAGCAGGGATACGCCCACTTCAACGACCTGCGCTTCATCGGTCGCAGCGGCAGAGGTAGACGGACGGACAGACACACAGACAGACAGACAGACAGATGGACGAACAGACACTATATATACAGTATATATGAATATCAAGTAACAGAGGTCGACGATGGAAAGCTTCCTCCTCTTCCTCCATTTGTTTCCATCTTTTGCCATTTGAACGTCTTTGCATTCACATAAATAATGAATGAAATTAAATGAGAATGAATGAATGAAAGGATCATTCTACCTCCAGAACAAACCAGGACCATCTATAGACAGGATTCCTTCCTTGTTGAAATCAATTTCTCTGATTCTGAGGGTCAGGCGGGAACTTTTTTATGGAATGAACCGACTTGCAACTAAATATTACACATTTTTATAGAGTCCAAGACCCCACGTAGTTTCTAAATTACTGTACAGACCTCCATATTTTTCCTGTACATGTGTGTTTTCAGGTAAGAGCTTCACCCTGTCCATAAACGTCTTGACCTCGCCGCCTCAGATCGCCACCCTGCACAGAGCCATAAAGATCACTGTGGACGGACCACGACTGCCAAGACGTCAGTGAACATCAAATAATAATCCAGCAGTTTAATCTGGGATGATCAGAACTGCCATTAACTTTACGTTCTTCTTCTCAGGACAAAGGCAGAAGGAGGTGAAGTCAGGAGTGTTCAGACCTTCCAGCAGCAGCACTTCATCAGGTATGAAAGTAGGGATGGTACCTAAACCCTCACTGGATGAAATGACACAAACAGAAATCTGATGGATGTTGGAGAACATTCTCTGGTCAGATGAAGATAAACGTGTTGGGCTCAGATGGAGTCCAGATGTTTGGTGTGAACCTGACCAGGACCACCACAGTGGATGCATCGTCCTGACAGTGAAGCATGGAGGTGGCAGCATCATGATATGGGGCTGCATGAGGGCAGAAGGTGTTGATGATGTTTACAAATTAATGTCTGAGGATAAACCAGAATACTGGCTGACCAGATGAAGAATATTCCAGCAGGAGAACCATCCAGAGAACTAAATCACACCAGAGGTTTTATGTGTGTTTGAGTAAATGCATTTGGAAAATGTAGAGATTCGGATTTTAACATTCAAACAAACTATGTATAAAAATATAAAACTAACCTCAATGCCAGCTTTTTACAGGCTTCTCTGAGTCTTCTTAAAGATCAATGAAACACGCCTGAAAGCTCCATAAAAACACTGAAGGTTTCTCTCTGTTCAGATTGCAGATCCTTTTCGTCGCCTCTGTGGACCAATGAGCCGCCGTTCCTGGGTCAGATGACCTCTCTGACTCCCAGAATGCACCACCTGCCTGCCCTCCCTTACTCCGCCCAGCCTCCCCCCTACAGCTCCTACCTGTCCTCTCCTCCTCCTCCCCCCCCACTCAGCCACAGTGGTCCGTTCCAGCCGGGCAGTTTTTACTACGGGCCGAACCAAACGCTCCAGACCACAGGGGAGGACCGAAGCGTTGTCACGGCACTAACGAATTACATTGAAGGGGCGTGTCTTTCTATGAGAGGGGAGGAGCCTGTCTGGAGGCCATATTGATGTGTTATGTGTTCTTAAAACAATGTAAACAATTATCCAGTTTGGGGACTTTTTGCTTTGTTGTCACGCATCTTTTTCTTTAATGATCACCTAATAAACATACATATTAACTGTATTAACAAGTATTCCCTCTTGTTTTGTTTTTTTTCAGTGTTGAATATTCAATATAGCTGACATTCCTGACAATAACTTTTTAAAAAATGTCAGGTAATGTCAATTAATTAAAAATAGAAAATGCTGGGATTTGGCCATTTAAAAATAATTAAAAAGAAAAATATTACACAAAAATGTTTATTAGAGCAACGAGTGTACAAAAAATATCTACCTCTCAACCACAAAACACAAGCTGTAGGATTTCATTCATAGTGAAACTAATCATCTGAAAACAAATTCAAGCCTCTATAATTAATTTTGAAAAACTTAATTCAAAATTAGTGTTTGGAGCTTTGCTAATTTATTTTTATTTATTTTTTATTTTTTAAAAACACAGCAGAGGAAGACTTAGAAATCTTCAAGAACAAAAAAGTACAAAACAAAGTCCGATCTTTGGAACGTGTAAAACAATCAACAATAAATAAAAATAAAATAATAATTTAGGGTCGTCGTCGAGGAAAGAAAATCTTGGTGGACTCGACTTTTCTACCTGATACTACGGTGAGCTGTTAGCATTATTAGCTTAAATGGGCTAAACACAAAAAGCTAGCATGGCATCGTATTGAATCACCTGAACCTGTTTGGTTTATACTGAAAGAGGCTCCAGTTTGCTAAAACTTTTTCCATCCACCGCACTATGTTTGACAATTTCCACCATGATTCTAGTTTCCTGTTTTGGAACGAACTACATTCAGTAAAAGTTAAATAGGCCGGTCTTAGCAGCGTCCGCTACGTTTTCCAATCGACCAATGACGACTACAGTCCTAATAATAATCAATAACTAAAAACAAGGCGTAACAAAATGTAGGTTTATAATTAAATGAGCAGTTCACTGAGATATAATGTAGACGGCAGAGGTTTCTGATTCTATAAATCTGAGGTTTTCTTCTTCTCTGGTTTTAAAGGCCGCTCAGCTGCTGATTGGCTGCTGCAGGTGTAGTGGGCGGGGCCTCAGGTCTCTGTGGCGAAGGTCTCCTGGAAGAAAGAAAATATTATTACTATGAAAATATCACTAAGAGACACTCGAGGTAGGTTTGAAAAGAAAAGGTGAAAATAAAGGCCTTTAGCTTTTCAAACCCAACCTGAACGTTGAATTTGAATCTTTTCAATAACAGCATATTTATGTTAATTTATACACAATAAATGCTCGTCAATGTACAAAACACTTTAAGAAAAATACGAACATTCAACTTAACTTGTACTTTACTGCCTTTTACGTTATTTATGTCCAACTTATGGGTCTGTTTTAACTAAATTAACGCCCTAAACTGTTTAAAGATTAATATGGACTCAGGATTCTTGGCCTGTAAAGTTAAATACTTTGTGTTTTTCCAGAAGATGGTTATAAACGTGATGGAACCTGAGCAGCATTGAGCTCAGCCACCCGCCGGCTGAACTCCTCCTCGGTCATCTCTTCGTCTTCTCCTCCTTCCTGAATCTTCTCCACCACCTGATGCTCTCCTGGAATCAGCAAACCGTCATTTAACAAAGATGAACAAGAACCCAGCAGATGACAGAAACAGCTGTAAAATCTGAAGCGTGTCTGGTTGTTTGTACCGTTGCAGGTCAAAGCCGTGCAGACCCAGTTCCCACAAGCACAGACACATTTATTGCACTCCATCCGAGTTTCAGCGCCGTCCTCGAACACCTCGTCCTCCAGAGCGCATTCTGCACGACGACAGAAAAACAAATATATATATATTTAAAAAAAAAACTGTAACACTCAGGACCAAAAATAAACAAACTGTAAAACAGCAAAAAATCTAAATCATGTCATAAAAACACTGGAATATTCAAATGTCTTAATGTTTTCAGATTATGACCAAAGTATTTTAAGCTTTAATTACTTTTTAACATGAATAAAAACATTGAAATTACTTAAAATGTAATAATAACATAGTGTACATATAATGAGATAAATAGATATGATGATAACTGATAGCATTGGTTATGTGTTTAATTTATTTTTGTCATGAAATATGTAGTTATGCACAAATCTATGTCAAATTATAGGAACAAAACTGCTTTTCTATTAATTTTGTTGTTAATTATCACTAATCGTATCTTAATTGAAACATACATTTACAACATTAAAGTTAGATTCTGTGTTTCACCTAAAAATGTTAAAAATTATTAGTTTTATTTTCCATTAAATGTTTTTTTTTGTAATTTTTATTGATATTTTTGTGTATTTCGAAAAGTTTGTGAAAGATGTTGAATACTGTTATGATGCAAAATGAATTCAGTCTTTACAGTTTTGAATATTCTTTGTACATTTTTGCGATTTTATTGATATTTTTGTATTTTTCCACATGTGTTTTAACAGTTTTTTTTAAATGTACAATAAATTAAAATTTCTTTAAAAGATTGAAATTTAATAGCTTCTCACAGTTTTTTTAATGTTCTTTTATGTTAGACGTGTAAATTCACAGTTAGTTTTGGTTTTAATATTGATAAGTTTGTGTATTTTAAATATAAAGGAAAGAAAAGTTGTTGTTTTTTTGTGTGTAAACTAAATTGCACAGAAGCTGCATGTTGTCTGATTATCTGGTGAAGTTTATTTTACTATAAGTTGAGTCTCCAGTCAGGAACAATCCCATCTAGATTTTTGTGGATCTAGAAACATCCTGCAGAGTTCTGGCGACATTTCCAAACATTTCCTCAGTTCCCAGAGCGTTTTTCTAAAATGTGGGACAACCGAAGAGGCTCTAAAACGTTCTGCTGGCAGCTCGATGCTCCTGTCGGTGATATTTACTTCTCTCAGGCGGATGGAAGCTCGGCGTCAGACAGTTGATGAACTCCGACAAACTCAGCTTCCAGTCGGCGTTTTCATCCGACAGCTCGATCAAAGCGTCGACGCACAGAGACCTGAGACAGACGGACAGTGTTTGTTCTTCATCTTCTGTTTCAGGAACCACATCCTAAACTCACAACACACTTTGTTCCTGCTTCTGCTCACAAGTGTCTAAATGTGGATCTTAGACACAAACACAGATTTAAATTTGACAGAAATAAATATACACATAAGAATGAAGATAATAAGAGAATGTTTACAGGTTTCACATGACGTGACATGATGGATGATCCAAACCCAAACCGTAGGACACACGATGTGTAAAAATGTACGTTAAAGAGAAAACTAGCGTTACATTATTGTCCTGAACATCTGGTAAAACGTCGGCCTCATTTCCTACTTTTGAACTGAGAAACTGGATTGATGCCACGAGATTCTCATAACAACACAAAAACAAACGACTGTGAACAGATTTTGGAGCAAAGTTTGACTGAAGCAGAAACAAACAACGCTGTAATGAACTTAGTTTAATTAGAGTTCTGACCTGAGCAGCAGGTTGGTCTCCAGCGTGTTGGAGAACGTCAGGTTCAACGCGGTCTCGTTGTGTTTCAGGAACCGTAGAAACTCTTTGGAGTCGAGCTGCGAGTCTCCGTTGTCGTATGTCTACAACACGAATACACAAAAACACAACTTAATGATGATAACTTATGATTCTGAGCGCTAATTAATGGATTTATTGATGGTTAACGCATCATTTAGCAGTTTTTAAGATCTGACCTGGAAGTAGGTCTGCAGGAGGCCGCTGGCTGACGATGCGTTCAAGGACACCTGGTCTGACTGCGTCTCTTTCTGGACCCACTGGATCACTCTGTCTCTCAGCCAATCACGGTCAGACAGGAAACACACAACTACAAACAAACAAACAAATATTAGAAAACACAGCCAGACGCTGAGGGTTTCAATTTGCTGCTTTGGGTGTAAATCTGATTTTTTCCGACTCACTGGGACTCACGTCCGTCTGTGTTGGTTT